GTCGAATTACAGGGCGGAAAACTGCCAGTGAACTGTATCGAAAAAAAGTTTATTGCATACATGGAGTTCGAATCCGGCTCCTCCACAGTTCAGGCCAGACCTCTTCCACCCCTACCTCCTCCCACAACCCAAGAGGTTGGCAATCGTCATAGATATGAAAAAAGTGCTGCATACACAAAACATAGCGGAGGCCATAAGTGATCCGGAATTTTCTGACTTGCGTTTCGAAATCGTCGATCACCAAGTCGTACTCGTTCGTCGACCACCGTCTCTTACGATCACGGCTTAAGAAGAACACGGGCTCTTGATGGCTGCTGGCGCTAGCAGTGGATTAAGCAAGGGCAGGAAAATGGTGGCGTTTTTCGCTTCAGAAATCCGGAGCATTTGCACTTGCCTAATCCCGAAGCGCACACTCGTTCAGAGTCCGTTCTGGCAGCGCCAACGTTTCGTCGCCGGCCACCACCGAAAAGAACAAATCTTCGATTCATCGCCAGTCTACGTTCCAAAGTGTCCCAGCGAAAAGATCGAACTTGTGGCCAGCGGCGTGGCGTAACAGCACAAATCCGGTCCACTTTTTCACTCGGGAGTCGAAGATGTCGGATTTAGAAGGAGGTTCACTCGACTGATACGAATTGCAAATTTCCAAAACGTAGGCCGTACGACAGATGTTGTTCTGAAGCATGGTGAGCTGGCAGAACGATCGGATCTTCAGGCTCAATTTCGCTTCGGGCGTCCTCGCTTAAATAGGCAAATTTGGCCAACTGCATTACGGTAAGTAAATGTTTCATTCTGCTGCTTCTTCCGAAGAATGTGGCGGTTCTGCGAATCCGAGATGATCGGGTCGCCTCCTTGGCTTGTATGTCAATTCTAAATCTGTACTCAGAATGAGAAGCTGAAGCTTCAGTGATTGATGCTTGGCAGGGCGCTTCGAAGATTGATTGACAGGCTTTGATCCAGGATTGACAGAAATCGGTTTTATCTCAGGTTCTCTTCACAATATACACCAACATATGCAAAATCAAGTATCCTTATAAATGTTGATGAAACTGGCACTGTGTGCTGTTGTTTATGAAGACGATCTCATCAAATATTCTATTGCGCAGAACTGGTCAGAGGAAAACTTATTACTCATCATTCATATTAAAATCAAATAATGGCTATTCTGGATTAACAGGCATTCCTCAAATAGATTGACACGCTGCCTCATCCCCTGTACGTTGCTGTTAAATAAACAGACGGCTATCACCGTGGAAAAAAGACTACACTTCACTGCACAAGCAGAAAAGGTAGTAATCAAAGCAACGAAAGTGCGCTTATGCTTTGCAAACCCTTTATGGAACCAGCACACTGTTTCTCATCAATTACCTACTTCACTCAATTATTAAGGTAGATTTATGCAAACTTCGATTAGCAATGAAAATTTGGCTCATACGAGCAGATCAGCTGTCCTATACGAAGATCGTAGCAAGTCAGAATGTCAGATCTAATGTAGAGCCTAGTAAACCTGTAATATCCATCCTCTGTGTGAGGCTCCTTAAAAGTGAACGACGTTTCATTCCATTAGATTCAATTTTGTCTTGGTCTATGCGAGGATTGAAACGTACGGAAAATTTTGTCATTCCACAGATGGCTCAGACTCTGCAGAACAAGGAACCTCAGAGGCAAAATCTGCTCAAATCGAATCTATCGTGTTATTCATTAATACTTAGATATTCTCCTGCATTAACTTTGAATTGGTCAGTCAGCTTCCTCCTCATTAATCTTTAATGAGCTCTGTCTCATGAGTGTGCATGTTGTTTGTTTTGTGTATTACTGATATATTGCTATACCAACGGGTCAGAATTTGCTGGAATGTTGATTGGTGCTAGTTTTACTTGCTACTTCTCGCATAACTCTAACGACATATTAATATTCTCAATGCTTTTAATTTGTTACTACTATAAACACCATTTCTCCAGAGCGAATTCACTCCTCTCAATGAAATGCATTAATACTTGGACGCTGGAGAGTTCCGTGCCGTTGCTGGCAAATCCACAACAAAATTAGCACCCTTATGTGACAGCAGCATGGATCTCACAGTTCATAGTAAAAAGGCGCTCTCTGCGCACGTTTTTCTTCAATAACTTTCATTGTAACCACGTCATTGCTTTTTCCTCTTTGCTCATCATCTGTTGTTGCTTTGCAGAATGCAGGTTATCTGAGGCTCATTAGGTCTGCTCGTCTGAACATTTCACATTTTCAAACAGGTGCTTACTCGTCGCAACGTTCTTTATGGACAAAAAATTCCGTTCAGTTTCCTTTACCCGGTGATACACTGACCCCCGGTGTTTCGCTATTGATGCTTTGGCTCCCATGCGGGCAACTGACCAGGGATAGGGGCTTGGTTGCTCCGCTGCTGATGATCAAACCACGTGAGTCTTCTGCTCAAGCACCTCTGACATCTGTTAGTTCAGTGAGTGTCAAAAAACAGCTGACTGTAGAACCTCGAGAATACGGAAACAAAACTTGGGTATGCACATCATGTAGACCGCATAATGATCAAAGCTAGGTTCGGTGTGCAAAGGTACAGTAAGGAGAAGTGTAGCATTACTCCAACTGTAACGATATCCGTGAAGCTGTATTGAGCCTTATGACAATTGGATAACGATGGAATTCGTATCCCGTGGGATTGTTTATAAGGCAAACCTGTTTCCGGAACAACCCAGTGAAACGCGGTCTAAAGGGCATGCAATTCCATTGTTCAAAGAGTTAAAATACCCTTACGGATGTTGTTGTGGCTTGACACGATCCCTCTCACCGCATGGTGACACTCTGACCTCCAGGGCGTGGATATCAAAATGGGCGTTCTGAAAGGTTCAGCATAGGCAGCTAGTTTCCAGCACTAGTCGAATTAACTTATTCATCGAAGGCATACGTTGAGTAGAATGACACGTTATGACGTTATGAAGCATAGCTTCTCCCAGACCCCATTTTACGGTTTGTAGCATCGCTGCCTTGCTCGTAGTTGCCCAGGGTGGCAGTTTGAGCAGGCCATGTGAAAATGGTACTTACACACCTGCGGTGCCAGATGCATGTCACATTATTTCATACACTACAGCTACCTCGTGCTCCTCACGAATGACGTTTCAAGAGTTGGTACTCATTTTATGCTTCCTCACTCGTTCGCTGTGGCATATCAAATAATGCACAGCTCGTCAAGTAACAGATCAAGTCCCGAAGGTTTGGTCGTATGAGAGTGTAATCAGAGGGATTGGAGGGAATTCTTCGAACTCGTTTTAATATGAGGCAGGATAATATGGTCCATTCACGCCGCCTGTCGTATGAACAGAGAATAAGAGAATCGTAGTTGAGCAGCACATCGACATGTGCATAGACAAACATGTGCATTTGTTAAAAATTGCGAGCTTTCAAGCCTATCCTGAAAAATACGCATAATTTATGACAATATTGTACCCACGGTGTATATTTCTCATGTCGATACATGTCGAGTTTCGCCAGGTTCACTATCATAGGCGTTAGGCTGTGAGGTTGAGGTATGAAACCAAATTCAACTGTGACTAAATACCATTTATTGCAACCTGGC